TTTTGCTGGCTGGGAATACATTCATTTTTCAATTAATAAATACATACATACTTACACATTTCATAACTCAGGCATTCTTGACAGCGTCAGGCGGTGGACTCGATTCCGCGAATTTTATCACGCCACAGGGAACAAATGTAAAGACGTTTGTATGTATGTACCTGTTACGTAGAATTAAGAGCAGTGAAACAAGCGGCGGCAGAAAGCGTTACGGTTTGAAAAACCACCATCGTTCTCGCAACTAATAAGAAAAGGAGTACAGCGATAAGCGATGCAACACATACGCGACGGATAAGCGAGACGCTTACAGCAGCTCAACCAAACGATAGACGTTTGAAAAAGTAGAGGCGATCGAAACATCGAGAAGCAATAGATGCTCCGAATAAATGGAAGTGACAGAAAATCGAAGAAGTAGTGCGTTGGCAGAATTTGCAACGTAATTTTGCTGATTAAATTCGAGAGAAAAATTAAAAAGTTATTCAAGCTGTTAAGACGTATTCAGAAGGCATCGCAATCATGGGACTAGAGGAAGGCCAAAATGCAATGCAGCTGGAACAAGGGAGTGCAGCATCCAGGAAGGTTAAGTTTTCAGCGCTTAAAGTGGAGCAACTGAATTTGTTGCTACAGAAATGCAGTCTATCAGTAGCAGGGAATAAAACCACAAGATTGCGACGTTGATGGAAGTGTACGAATCAGACGAAGTGGATGCAGATGAAAACGAGGCACGCGAGATTCCGCCATGGCAGCAACAAGTGGGTGATCTGCGAGAAATAGTCAACAACATGGACAAAACAGTGAGTACACTAGCAGTTATGACGCTGAGGCATATTGAGTCGACACAAGGACAGACACCGCCGCAGAATTCAGGACAAGAATGCAGGCAACAATCAACAGGCGAGCCGGATGCACACACAACAGCAGTGCAGGCTACAACAGTTCCAGAGGCGACAGCGGGCACTCCAGTAAGGGAGGTGGGTACTCGGTCAACCAAGGCGCGATCTGATGACGGATATCCAATCAGTAGTAACGCAGACAGGTACCAGGTATTCGATGAGAGAAATTATTGGAATTCTGCTGGAGTTTGACCCATTGAAGGGGCACCGGGCGACGAGTCAATTTATTGGAAAAATAGAGCAACTGCGAGACATATACTTATAGAGTGAAGAAGAAGTGCTGTTCGTGCTCAACAGAACTTAAGAGGTGTGGCAAGAGTATGGGCTGACTCACAGCCAGCTTTCAGAACCTGGTATCAATTTATTGAGATGCTGAAAGGAGACTTTCCAAGTGCACCAAGCTCAGCAGAAATGAATGAATCTCTGAAAGAGTACTTCTACGTAATGCTAAAACTATGTTCACAAATCAATATTATCTCAATCAAAGCTCGTTTTTTAATCACCCCGTTTACACAGGCAAATCTCAGATTATTAGCCGTCAAATTTGTTGTGCTTCTTATTCTCACATCTCAAGGAAAAGTTATGTTTCTTCTCTGTGCCACCGTGATCACGTTTTTCTGCTATATTAAGCAATATAAATATATTTTAACTTAACATTTTATTAAAAAAAATACCTTTAAAACCCTCTTTTCCTTGCTAGCGTCCATTTTTGTTTACTTTTACATTTGGCATTTCTCCTCTTTTTTGCAAAAACAATCGATAAAACTAGGATGGACACCGAAAAGTTATCGGTTTAATCTGAGATTATTTTATAATTACAAATTAACAAGGGACGAATTTTATATGGCTAATCTCCTTGTTATAATTACAGATTAGGGTGTTGAGCTCGAAAATGAGGATAATCTACTTATATGTGAACCTAGTATAAGTCTGGGCCGCAGCGGAAACATAAACGAAGTATCAATAAATTCATACATAATTAGTGGCCTAGATGCTACAAATCTTTCCAGAAATTTACTTGCAATGAATTTGGGATCGTGCCACGAATTGCTGTTATCAATTTAATGGTTGTCAGAAATGCCAGTGTGGCCAAAAAACAGCAGCAGATGAACGCCATGGTGCAACAAAGGCTCAGAGTGGTCAAAAGGGTTGTAAGTCAGTTCGTTATTACAACTGCAATGAAACCGGGCACATTACAGCCAAGTGTCGACAACCGCAGCGCAAAACAGAGTGTAGCAAGTGCAGTAAATTTGGGCACGACGCTAAATCATGTGGTGGAGCGTAGCCATCGGTTGCCAAGGTGGCGGAATCGGCGGCTGCAGTGCCGCCACCGGTAACTAAAGACGTGAACGTGTTCGGACGGAACATATCGGCATTTATTGGCTCAGGCAGTGACGTTTCAATGGTTAAGTAGTCATTAGTTACAAACAGCCTACAACGTGAGTCCGCCGTGAAGAAGCTTGAAGGTTTTAGAGGTGGTGTGGTCGAAACATCACAGAAGGTTAATGTCGTCATGTAGCTAGATGGCCATGTTGTCCAGGTGAGTCTGATTATAGTGCCAGATGAACTTATGCCATACCAGCTACTTATTGACCGAGATGTGCTGTGTGAAAGCAACAAAAAGTTTTTCGTCGACTCTGGAGTGCTAAGAGTGCAAGAATCCGAGATATCGTTATCAATTAGCAACAGAGTGGATGCCGGTCCCTCCAAGCAGTTGAACGCATTATTGAAACGGTACGATGACTGCTTCGCGGAAGACTTGTCGTCATTGGGTCGCTGTAACATGACCGAGATGGAGATACAGGTCACCACCGATAAGCCTATTTTGGGAAAACGCTACCAACTTCCATTTGCACAACGGACAGTCTTGTCATCGATCGTGAATAATTTATTGGAATACGACATTATCCGTCCAAGCACGTCGCCACATGCAGCCTCAGTGGTCCTGGTAAAGAAACACAACGGTGAGGATAGAATGTGTGTCGACTTCGGTACGATAAATGCAGTTACTGTGAAGAAACCGTTCCCAATGCTGATATTTGTGGAACAGCTGGCGCGGCTGGGGAAAACCGCTATTACACCACACTGGATATGACGGCGGGATATTATCAGATCCCAATGAAAGAAGACAGCAAAAGGTACACCGCGTTCTTAACCCCTGATGGACTATTGAACACAATGATGACGTTCGGATTGGCGAATGCACCCATGGTGCTTCAGGAGGAAGAGGAAGGGATGAGTTTTTGGAAAAAATACGAGAAGCAGGCTTGACTCTAACTTTTCTTGGCCATGTTGTCAACCAGAACGGTATCCAGCCAGACGAAGGGAAGATGCGAAGCGTCGAAGAATTCCCACGACCAACCACAGCGGCACAGGTGCTTCAATTGCTGGGGCTAACCGGCTGTTTCCGTAGGTTTATTCCGAACTATAGTACAATTGCCAAACCCCTTACGCAACTACTCAAGAAGGAGGAGATTTTTAAATGGACAACTGCGCAATATGAAGCCTGCATAGCGTTGAAGAACGCGCTCACATCTGAACCGGTGCTGGCAATCTTCGATGCAGCAAAGCCGCATGAAGTACATACAGACGCGAGTGCTTTCGGCATCTCAGGGATCTTGTTGCAGTTCAGTATTATAGCCGTCAGTGCAGTGCAGCTGAAAGCCGTTACGCGAGTCACGAGTTGGAGGTGCTTGCGATCGTGCAGACTTTAGAGAGGTTCCGACTGTACTTGTTGGGTACGCATTTTGGTTATCGTCTGTGGCTTCAGCAAATACATGCTACTGAAAGCGTTACGAATTCTAAAACTGAACCAGTAAAGAAGACACTGGAAGAAATTATGTCTATATTTGAATTCACAACTAAACAGCGTAACCAAGTTTACACCAAATGAGTTGGTGTTTCATTTCAACCCCAGGGACGTGTCAGCTAACCGAATTATCCAAGCGCTGCACGACCAAGTCGTCAATAATGAGGATATCGGGAACTAACGAGACGAGGCAGCTGCTAACATATTAGCTGAACGACAAAAGTGGAAGAAGCGATACAGTCAGAAGCATTTGCAGCCGCGCCAGTGTGAGGTTGGCGATTTGGTATACGTTGATTATACACCAGCAGCAACGGGCGAATCGCACAAGCTCGATCCGGCTTACAAGGGTCCTTATATCGTGGCTAAGGTACTCAGCCACAGTGTTGCCGCGAATAATTTTTACTGGTAGCCAAATTCCTTTAAAAAAAAAGGGCCAAAAAAGAGCTAAAAAAGTCGGTGTGGCTAAAAATGGTAGCTAAAATTTTTTACTTACTTATACATACATAAGTATACACGCAAACATTTTGAATAAGTAATGGTATATAAAAACAATGAACTCGAGAAAAAAAGCTAATATTTTATCCAACCAAAAACCTTTTTGTATAAAAGGGGAAATATACGACACCAGCTTGCTGGCTCCATCAAGCGATTGTACCATCAGGCTCGAAGCATATAACTTACCAGGATGCTGGTACAATATTTATTTCTTTACAAATGAGGTCGAGGAAAGATCGAAATGATTAGAGCCGAAATTTCATAATTTTTCTAGCATTTTGTTAAACATTGTTTTTTTTTTTTAATTCACAACTGCAATATCGTGAAGTTAATCTTCCACCAACACGACTTTGACTCATATAGTGCCAGAAAATTACGCCAAAATACTTTTTACTTAGAAAATTCAGCTAATTTCACCACTCACGACCCCAGCATGCTGGTACAATCATAAAATTTTCAAATAGTTTTTGAAGTCGCACCAGTAGCTGGTACAATCACACCACAAGAACATACACAGTCAATCGACTTGATGGGCCATTTAGCAAATTAAGCATATTAAGGGCCGTAAACGTATCTATTTTAAACTATAGTTAAATCGTTAATAGATAAGTTAACAGCCCTAACACTTTTACAGTATGTATGTATAAAAACGTAAGGAACATACAATACATATATGTATATATATATCAGTCTTTCTTAGTTTAAAAATTCATCTCTTACATAAATGAAAAAACTGAGACCAAATTAAGCATATACAACTTTTTTATGCCAAGTATGAATAAATTCTCCAAAGGGCTAAAAAAAGGGCTAGGGGCACTTTTAAATTTATGTGGCCAAAAAAAGTGTGTGGTAGCTAAATTTAGCCACCAAAGGGCTAATCGAAGATTTGCCGGATGTATCAATTACTCAGCGACGATATAGTAACATTCTCAGTGTCGACCCAAGAATGATAGAATACAAGATTGCGCCAATCGAGCTGAGAGCAACTGGCCATGACGTCAAAATATACCGGAATGAGAGAGCAAAGACGAATTCAATAAGAAAAAGAAGAAGAATCGAACAGCTGGGGCGAAATTGAAAGGTTTGTTTACAAAGTGCAGAATAAATCGCGGATTTACGGAATTATTTAATTTTAAATGGTAAATTGGTTGTTTAAAAGTAAAGAATGTGTACTTATTAAATGCAATGCAAATCGCTGAAAGTGTTAAAACACTGCAATCATTATAATGATTTGCATTTTTTCAGTAATTGAACAAATACCAGCGGGTCAGTTGCTGGTAACAATTGCAGAACGATTCCACGGTGATCGTTGCATCGTCGTCAATTAGTGAAATCAGTAACCAAGCTTTTAAAATAAAGGAAAACCTCCTACTCCGCTATACATATAATTACTTTCATTATTTAGCTACTTTTCCAGCAGCCGCAACAAACGCTGGCCCAAGCCGGCAAATTGTTGCCAGCAACTGACCCGCTGGCTGCCTACTGGCATTTGTTCAACTACTCAAAAATGCACTTTGTAAACAAACCTTTTGGGTGTTGGCCACATCAAGCGGCTCATCTCGATGAAATGAAAAGGCTGTTAGATGTAATGCAGCAACGTGCTCCCGATGTTGAACATCAGTTCAAAGAAAAGTCAAATGAGTTGGAAATGGCGCAGCTTATCATATGCCAGTTGTCGGATAAGGCCAATGTAAACCAAGGCCGCAATCGTATAGAGACCTTGACGCAGTCGCAATTTATGTACGAGCAACAGATTAGAGACTTATATGTAAGTTAGAAGTAGAAGTGCATTTGAAGATGTTTACATTATTATGTTTACGCATTTCTTACAGGCTATGGTGCAACAATTGACGTATGCCAAAGAAAGGAATTTATGATGGTCACAAATATATTGGCAAAAACATAGCAAGTGCATATGTCAAGTTGGAAAAAATTGGCAATGCGTGAGTATAAAAGAAGAGTCTTTTTGATGATCGACCGCAATAGATTCAAGAATTGACTTACATCATGGTATATGCGTTACAATCTAAATTAGCCAGCATGGGCACCGACTTCAAACAGATACTAGAAGTGCGTATAGAAAATCTCAAACAACAAAAAGCGCGTCGGGATCAATTCGGGCAGTCACCAATTGCTGCTAGCACTGTTCGCTCGAGTACAGCGAAACAGGGCTCCTTGCTGTTAAGCGAAGAGAATACGGCCGTAAGCATTGACATGGCCGCAAGTGATACAACACCATTGCTGGGTGCAGTCGAAGGTAGTGGAATACAGACGCAGCAGCAGATTGCATTATATGATGACTCCGATAGTTACGCGCAACAGCGGGCTGAGACTATGCAGAACATTGAATCGACTATTGTCGAGCTAGGCGGTATATTTCAACAATCAGCACATATGGTTAAGGAGCAAGAGGAGACTGTGGAGCGTATCGATACAAACATACAAGATGCCGAATTGAACATAGAAGTGGCGCATGGTGAAATATTGAAATACTTCCAAACTGATGATAAAAATCTTCGCAGTACTGATATTCTTTTTCATATTCTTCGTAGTTTTCCTTACATAATAACGAATATGTTTGTGACACGGCAAGATTTTAACAAGTTCAGAGGCGCGGTCTTAAAGTTGTGGGTTTTTAAATACATAAATATATATAGGGGATTCACAAGACGTGTTAACCGTCGTAAAATCTTAAGCTTAACACTTGTTTATGTAAAATAGCGGTTAAAATGGTTGGGGGGTTGGCTAATTATATATTCTTTATCAGTTTAAAAGAATTTCGGTTTAGTTAGAAATCCCCTAAAACCATTTTAATTAAAAAAGATGTTAACCTTAAGATTTTACGACGGTTAACACGTCTTGTGAATCCCCTAATAATATCCTATTCATATACATACATATAAATCACACTAATGTAATAATGAAATTAAGTCTTATATGCCACGTGAAACACGATAGCTTTTAGAAGCAGTCACGTAGGGTTAGACACTAATTCTGTCAATAATAAAATTACTTCGCTTAGTTTCACTTTTTTTCAAAATTTTCTATAAAAAGTAGAGATGATCCTGTGTAATAAAACGAGAACCGATTTATTTAATCATAAATATATAAAGAAAAGTTTAAAACTAAATAAAATAGAAATTGTTATTGGCAATAAGTACATGTGCTTATTTATTAATAATTCAAATATTATGTTCAAACAAATTTAAGTGAAAGGTATGCAATTTCAAGAAAAAAGCAATTGCTTAGTTTTTATGCATACGGCTTAACATTTCCGGTAGGAAGCAGAAGGTCAGTATGTATAAATAAAAAGCTTTATCAGGGCAACGTGTTATATTTTCAACTAACAAATAAATAAATAAAAAATACATCGTAATGAAATGTTGCCGTTTATTGCATGTGATCTGATGCCGGATTCAATTTAAAGGTTCTCGTAGGTAGCTCGTTCTCGAAGTCATCAGTGGTGAAGTGTTTTACACAGATGACGCTGGTTCGGGCGTTGAAATCCGTTGGTCTCCGGCAGAACTGGATCCACTTTTCTACCAACTCAATGTCGGCCGGAAAAGTAAAAAAAACAGATCCTTTGGCACTAACACTAGCACAATTAACCACTGCACACCTCATTTTTTTCTTTAATTTATAACTTTTTTATAAGTTTTCACAAAAAACAAAACAACGCTCAAAATCTTTCGAATTTGTAAATTTGTAAAGTTGAAATAACCTAAAATGTCACGAACCAGAAAATGTAAGCAAAAGTATTGTGTGACGTCAGCGAATGGGTGGATGCTGTCAAATCGACGAAGAGAGGGTTAGCGGTCCGCGAATGGCGCGACGTTTATTTTCTGGATCGTGGTGTCGACCACATCAAACCTTGGTGTGCACTGAATCCAGAGCTGGACGCTAGCGAGGATGACGATAGTGAGTCGACCGGGTGGGTTGAGGAGCAGGGATGAAAAAGTAGGTACAATTGTACCTTTTTCCGACGTTTGATGACTTTAAGGTACATTAGGTACAGACACTAGATTTTAGGTACAATCATCTTTTGATCAGATGCATTTTTAGTTTTTTTTCCTTTTTCCTTTACCGTGCTAGTATATTTACTTTGCTTTAATTTTGAAGAATAAACAATTCTAAAGAGAAGTTGTCAAAAGGAAGAAATTAAAAAGGTCATATTATATATTATCTTAAACATTTTACATTGCATTTAGAGTAGCCACTACGAAAAACTAACACTTCGCTTAGCTATCCTCAAATTCGTATTTTTTCTATTAATTTTAACGGTTATTTTCACTAAGTCAAATTCAATGGCCTTTGCAGTCAAATGAGTGAAAAGAAATTGTCAAATGGGAGTAAAAGATGGTCTTTTGATTGATTTAGATCAGAATAGGCCTTCAGGCGTGTACATCCGCTGCTAAAGCGGCTATTTGTAAGCTTTTGGCCCATAATATCATCGATAAAGGTAGGGATAAAAGAAAGAAAGTTGTGTCAAAATATAGCGACAAATATTGTTGTCAAAATATGACATAATGAAAACCAGCCTTTATTCACACATACAGTTCTGTCTAGGATGTCTTCAAATTTCATATTTTATTTAGATGAGAACTATAGCTATTTGACCCATATTCGCTTAGTGATTTCTGGAAATATATTTAGAAATGCTTTCGAAGTTACTTCCTGCAATTTGAATATTTTTTTTAGACTTGCTGCACCTATCAAAAGGAATCGGATAAATAAGCAGACTTTTCCTGTTGTTTTATAAAAAGCTGGATAAAGAAGTATACTTCGCAAAGTGTGTTTTTTTGTGTTTTTCGCCAATATTTTTCAGTAGCCAAAATTAGACAAAAACAACGCTTCTCCGATTCCCATTAGATTATATGTAGTCTATTGATATAGGCTCAGTTAAAAAAAAAACATCCATCTTTTGTATACATGTTTTAAATAACATTTATAAAAAAAAACTACAAAGGAATGATGTAACTTTTTTAGGTACAATCTGTCTCATTTAGGTACATTTATTTTATGATATTAGGTAGCATGACAGCTAAGCAAAACAAAATGTTCACACAATATTAAGTA